AAATGGGATTTCGGTCAAAGCATTAATTTAGAAGAACTCAAGTTACTGATAATCAAAAGAATATATGAAAGAAAGTAATTTAGCTAGCAGTAATATAATCAGAAGAAAAATAAGTAAATCAATATATTCAGATAGTCTTTTTTTTGTCCTTACAATTGATCAGTTATCTCCCTTTTATAGCTATATGGGAGATATACGTTTTGACCTTGTCATAATAAGGCTATTATGAGTAATTAAAGGCATTGAATGCTACGTTACGCAATCATTGTATTTAATACAGATTTTCTAACGTATTCAGTATTTAATGCTCACTAAATATTGTATCTATACTCTCATATATTGTCAGATTCATTTCCCTTGATTCCTAGACCTAAATGACTTAAATAGGTACGAGCGCCGAGTTCTTTGAATATCTGCTCGTTCCTCTTCCTTTGTCTTTGCTCGTATCTATTACAACTCGTGTCTCTTTGCCAGCTGTAACTCTTTGACTAGTCTACGTGTCTTGACACATCATCTTTATTCCAGTTTAATAGGTAAACTCAATTTATCCCAATAAAACAGCAAATAGAAAAAATTTCCCATTGTCAGGGTGGTCTCAGGTGATGCTCAATTCTCGAAGTACAATTTATTTCCATACTATATATCTTATTTAGAATATAATCAGGCCACATGCTTTTCAGCTTTACTGAGGACATGACCCTCTATAGGAAGGCGTGGAGATCGAAGATTAAGGTTGCGGGTTAATGAGTAGTTGCATGTTTTCCTTCTCCATACCGGTAGTATTAGTATTACGCCCGTTTTCTCTTATTCTTAGATTTTTTATTACTGCATGTTGTTGCTTGCTTCAGTTATCTTATTTTTGTTGCCGTTATTATTTCTTCCTTTATGGCTTCTCTACTACTGTATTTTTTCTTAATTGATGGATTATGCTTTTCTTGAGCAGAGTGTCTATCGGAAATAGCCCCTCTATTTTCACAAGGTAGGAGTAAGGTTTGCGTATACACTATCCAGACCCCACTTATGGGATTTCTCTGGGTATGTTGTTGTTACTGGCAAGGATAATACAATGAGGCTGAACACCAAACTTTTAATAATTTAATATTAAAGAAATTGTTTGAGTATCGGATTAGTATACTGATGTAAAGTTTGTAATGACGAGAAAACAAGCTGCTGAAATTCGATAGCACTAGACTTTTTCTGTTTTCTTTATGATCTCACTGCATTTAAGTGAATATGTTCAAGGAAAGACAAAGTTTGATCGTCAGTGTTGCATTGACATTGCTCCTGGATTACCATGCTGCAGTTTCTCTGTGATTGAATCGATCTATTCAGAAATATAATATATGGAAGTTCCGTTGTATTATCACAATATTTAGTTTAAAGTCTGTAACAAATTAATCATACAGTTAGCATGGAAGTTTGGGTACTCCCAGTAAAATGATCAAATGTTCTTATATCTGAAGTTTCTCAATGTTGCGTATTCTAAACTTCTATAGATGGTTAAGAATCCAAATTACAACTCGAAAAGAAGAAGCGTGATGAGGGTTCCTGAAAGATAAGATACCATATTGGTTTACTGCTTCTGGATATGTTGTCCTGGCTGCAATATCAACGGCCACAATGCCAATTATCTTTCCTTCACTCAAGTGGTATTTGATCCTTTGCTCATATCTAATTGCCCCTGCCCTCGCCTTCTGCAACTCCTATTCTACTGGTGTCACAGTCTGGAGCTTGGCTTTAACTGATGGGAAGATCGGTCTCTTTATTATTGCTTCACTAGTAGGAAGCAATGACGGGGTCATAGCAGGATTGGTAGCATGTGGGGTTGTGATGTCCATCATCTCCACTTCTGCTGATTTAATGCAAGATTCAAGACAGGGTATCTTACAGAATCATCAGCTAAATCTATGTCTGTCAGTCAATTGGTGGGAACAGCAATGCACCCCTCACATTTTGGATGTATAGGAATGGTTTTGACATTGGCGCTCCTGATAGTGCATACAAAGCAATTTATGCTGTTATGTACCGAGAGATGGCCATTCTCGGAATTGAGGGGTTCGCTGAACTTCCCAAGCATTGCCCTGCATTATGCTTGTGAGTTCTTTGGGCAGCTCTAGCCCTAAACCTCTTGAGGGATGTGACTCCAGCAGAATATTCCCCTTTTATTCCTATTCCGATGGCAATGGCTGTGCCATTATACATTGGAGCTTATTTTGCAATCAACATGTTTGTTGGTACAGTGATATTATTTGTATGGGAGAGGATAAATAAGAAAGATGCAGTAGATTTTGCTGGTGCAGTAGCCCCTCTGTTTGGTATGTGGGAATAGTATTTGCACGATACCATCAGCTATCCTCTCCATTTTCCGGATCAACCCACCAATTTGCATGTACTTTGGGCCTTCTGCACACAGCTGAGCAGCAAGTGCAATCCTTTTCGTCCCTCTACAGGTCAAGAATACTTCAACAACTATGCCTCAGTCCAAAACAAGTTGGGGCCAGCAAGCTCAAGAATCCGTCAGGCTGTAAATATTCTGTCTCTCCAGCTCATCCATACCTGTAAATATAATGTTACAAGAAATGTATTACTTGGGATTGTCACTATTGTATTTAAGGACATATGTTACCTATATCGCTTACACTCATTAATCGGACTGTTTTAATCTACTGGAAAAGTATTACTGGGATGAATTTTAGGTCTAACGAAATGTGAAAGCGATCATTGAAATTCTAATTCCATGTGTTATAGCAAACGTGGTCGAACATGCTAATATTTAGAACTGTGATGATTTACTCGCTAACATTTGAAAATTGAAAAAGTGGTTAAAATAGACGTCATCTGTAATAAATCTTCACAGCATCAGTGTTTTCCCCTTGGATAACTTCACTTGTTGTAATAATATATACGTAGAATCTATCCATGGCAAGAAAATTACGGTATCTTTAAGGGAAGTGGGTTAAAATTTCCTTATACTATCAGAAATAGAACAATTTTGTCTATCTATTGGACTTTTCGTTTAATATTACTTTCGCCGTACGTTTTTATCTTTGATCCTGTTGAACCTTGTTTTAACCTTTAAATGATCAATCAACTATTAAAACTTCTAGTTACGTGCCTTTCAAGGCTCAATCACACCAATATTATCTCTCTCTACAATGATAGGAAAAAGAAAAATCACTTCCAGGAAATTAAGTGGCAATTGAGGAGAGGTGGCTTTAGAAAAAGGCCAAGGGTTGGATCTTGGATTCTTAGGCGGTCTTCTTTTTTGTCTCCATAATGGAAAGCAATATTGATTTGACCAACAAAGACAAATACGATGATATGCAATGAAGCACTTAAACCAATAATCTCAACTCCGCGTCGTATTTGGAATGTTGTGTACCTTTTCAGTACTCAAATAGATGAACAACAACTGGACTGGGACATGGATGACCAGTGTTTAGATTTCACATATTATTCGCATTATTATTACTGCTATGTTTTTGCTTAAGTTCAGCTGGAAATGTAAAGATATTATTATTGCTACTAATATTATAGAAATTCGGGCATCTAATTTTGACACGGAGAGTTCAAGAGTAGTCCCTGTCTTTGCTAGCGTTTGGACATAAATATTGGTTGAAACCTAAAAAAAAAAAAATTGAAGTCTTTTTGAAAAATAATTTTTGAAAGTTACGTCACACCTCCTTTTCCCGAGAAATAAGGAGTTTTTCCAAATAAAGTGACACTTTTCAAAATGATTTTATTTTATTAATTCAGAGTCGCCACTTGGAATAATTTATGGTGTCCCAAGTCACCGGTTTATTTTAAATCCCAAATCGAGGAAATTCGACTCTGTTTTAAGTCCGCGAAACCAGAAGACCGGGTAAGGAATTCTGTTAACCCGGAAAAAAGCCGTGAGGCACTCCCGAGTTTCGGAGTTTGAGCACGATCGCTCAATTATTAATAATTTGCCTAAATATCTGATTTATTACATATTTAAAATATATTCTGCATTTTTAACTTTCTAATGGGGAGCGGATTGGGGCGGAATGTGTCAAGCCATTGGGCTTGAAACAATAGCCCAATCCGATTTTAGCTTAGCAACCCTTTTCTTTCTTCTTTTAAATTTCACTTTTAACCACCTTTAAATTCTGATGCTAATTAAATCCAAATTTTACACAACAATCAATTCAATCTAATTTACCTAACCGTTAACTAACATTGTAAATATCATGTTAAAAGATGTCTAAAGTATATATATATTTTTGGATTTTATGTTTTAGTAATGCAATTAATATGTAACTAAATGCTAAAAATGAAATTTAAAGTCTAAAAAATATAAAAGATGAAAGATAAAATATTTTAATGATTTTAAAACACTTCTAAATATGCATGAATAATGCAAATAAATGCAAGAAAAATTCCTAAAATTCTATGAAATAATTAAAAACTATTTTGAAATATTTTTAGGAGTAATTTTATATATTGGGAGAAAATAAATGCTCACAGAAGTTATGTTTGTACATGTATTTTATTTAAAATAAAATAAAATTTTGTGATTGATTTTTTTTTTTTTTTGACAATCTTATGTATAAATGTGGGAGTAAATAAGGGTATAGTTAATGGTAATGATATGAATGGGACTGCATCAGGAGTGGATTAAAAGCAACCATATTCTAAAAAATAAACCCAGGCATCTCCACCCTACACATGTATGTGCATGATGTGTGCACGCCAAATCACGCATTTTATTATTCCCGTGGACGAAGTAGTGTTCAATTAATGGGTTCAATTGAATTCATAACTTTTGATATGGGCCAAAAAAATTTATGTAAAAATTTATTAAAATTAAAAATATAATAGGTTCAATGCTAAAAATTTTGAAAGTTAAATTTATCAAATTTAAATACTGAATCCACCTCTGATTATTCCACGTAACTAAATATTAGTATAGCAGAATGTCAACTATCATAATGCGACGTAGTTATGCGCGTTAGGACTTTAATAATTGAAGTAGACAAAAGCATAGCATAAGTAAACATTATTCTTGATATTTACCTACAGAAATTACCAAAATTGCCGTCTTTCCATGGAATTTGACCGAGGAAGTGGACGAGCAAGAATTGAAAGAGCAAAGTTTGAGTCATTCACTGACTGACAGTGAAAACCTCCTGAAATGATCAGAACATTGGGACTTTCCTCTCTTTTTCTTTTTTGTCTGTTTTGTGAGGTTACCTTCTTCTTCTCATCTGAAAATATCAACACACATCTGCCTTTTCCTTTTACTAGGAAACAAACATCTTTTAAATAGTTAAACCCCTCGAGTTTGTTCATGGATCCCAAGCAGCCGCCAGCGCAGTCTAACGCTATCAATATTAGCAACAGCAACAACAATATTATGGTTGAGTACAATAAGCCTGCTCCTGATCAGATAAAAGAAGATGAAACCAAGAAGCAGCAGCAATTGGTTCCTAAAAGAAAAGATAGGCACACAAAAGTTGAAGGCAGAGGGAGGAGGATACGTATGCCTGCTCTTTGCGCTGCTAGGATTTTCCAACTCACCCGCGAATTAGGTCATAAATCTGATGGAGAGACAATCCAGTGGCTGCTGCAGCAAGCCGAGCCCTCCATATTTGCCGCTACTGGTACTGGAACCATCCCTGCCTCGGCTTTAGCTGCAGCAGCCGCTGGCCCCTCTGTTTCCCAACAGGGGACCTCTGTATCCGCTGGTTTGCATCAAAAAATGGATGAATTGGGAGCGAATATAGTCGGGTCCGCTAGTATATGTAGTAGTAGTAGTAGTAGGACCAGTTGGCCAATGATGTGTGGGAATTTTGGAAGACCCCATTTGGCCACAGCAGGAATATGGCCCGGACCTACTCCTGTTGTCACTAGTTTCGGGTTACAGACAGCATTGACTCCAGGATCAAGCACTAATTTGGGTAGTGAAAGTTCCAATTATTACCTACAAAAGATTGGCTTTCCTGGATTTGATCTGCCTGCAGCCACCAATATGAGTCCTATGAGTTTTACTTCAATTCTGGGTTCCAGTAATAACCAGCAATTGCCAGGTTTGGAGCTTGGATTATCTCAAGATAGGGGTCATATAGGGGTTTTAAACTCTCAAGCCTTGAGCCAGATATACCAGGCTAGAATTCACAATCAACAGCAGCACCAGCAAAATCAGCATCTGCATCTATCTCCCGAGGATGATTCTCAAGGATCAGGACACTAATACAACTTCCAGATAAAAGACCTGAGCTAGGTTTTCAGTGAATAGTTTTCATTTTTTTTAGGAGCTGTATAAATTATAAGTTAAAAGCCAACTTTTCATTATTCATTTTCCCTTTATATCTGAGTTTGTGTGCTTATATCTTATTTACTGAAATAGACATGGTAATCACATAAACATGGGCAATTTTCTCTTCTACTAGTATATAAGGCTTTGGATAGATTCACCTCTTTGTTTTTGTACAAGTAAGGGATTTCCGGCAGTCAATTGCTATTTCAATATATCCAGCCTAAAAACTCTGCTCTAGTTTCTTCTGGTTTGGGGTTGAGGTGGGGGGTTAGAGATTTTCATTCTTTTCTTTGGTCAATTCATCACATAAATCAAGAAAACCACAGCACTGCAGCTATGACAGCTGGTGGCCTGAAAAATTAGCCCTTAAGTGTATTGATAGCTCCATAAATGGATTCTAGTAAGTCAATGGAAATGGAGCTGTCAAAAATGGGGATGTAACTGTAAGAAACATTTGGGATGTGGGGCGGGAATCATGGCATCACTGGAAGAAAGAGTAAGATGCAGAATAAGTACTCTTAAATGCTGTCAAAAGAATCAAATGAGGAAGTAAACAATCCTCCATTCAGTTCAATCTTCTTTTTGATAGAAGTCTGCATTCAGTTCAATCTTCTTGATGAGCTGCAGTAACAGATTGCCAATTTCTACTGGAAAACAAAAAAGGGAACTTGGTACTGTATTGCTGCTTTTCCTCCAAGTGTTATACATCTGATTGCTGGCATTCCTTCTTTTAAGGGTGGGATGCTTTGATGGAGTTTCCATACTGACACTTCGCTTCACAACAGAAAATTTTCTTTCAGAACTGTGTTGTGCTCACCATACAACCTATAGTGCTAAAACAAAATTCTTGTCGTTTTATTGACATTTTTAGTGTTTGCTTTTCTTTAAGCAGCTTTATGGATGAGTATTGTATGGACATTTATTGAGCTTGATGTTGTTGGTCTGTATTGGAAATCTGGAAGCAATCTATCTGGTGTGTGGATATTCATTTTGCCCTTCATAGGAGTATTGTTTATGGAGTACTTGTTTTCAGAAAGTATCAATTCTTGAGATGCAGTATCATCTTTTTGAGAAAAAATATTGACTTATGGAAGTTCATTTTGATATCTTTATATCATCATTGCATTTTATGAGAACAAGAAGTTTCTGCCTGTTGTTATTCACATGTGTCCTGCCAATGTTTCGAATTGCTTCTACATGCTGCTATGGTGGATTAGGAGCAGTTCCTTGAGTAAGCGAAACAGATGCTGTTTCTAAAGGGGCCAAAACGTAAAAGAGTTGTTGGAATCGAAATGCATTTCCAGCAAACAAGTAGGGATATAACAGATTTAAGATCATCACCCATTCAGGGACTAAACCCCAGTTGCAGAGCATTTTTCTCAAGATAAAATTGAAGTACTTTGAGTCAACTTGAAGGGAGCCTTGGAACGACGGTCAAGTTGTCTTCATGTGGCCTATAGGTCATGGGTTCGGGGCGTAAAATCAGCCACGGATGCTTGCATCAAGGTAGGCTGCCTACATCACACCCCTTGGGGTGCGCTCCTTCTCCGGATCCTGCGTGAGCGCAGAATACTTTGTGCAGCGGGTGGCCCCTGAGTCGATTATTTTTTTATGTTGTTATTACAACTATGATTGAGTATAGGAAGGCTTGTTAATCAAAAGGCTATTATGTAAAGGGTTTTTTGCCTTGGTTTGGCTTGAATATGATGAGCTTATCACATGGCATTTTATATCTACTCTTCTTGTCATGAAATAGATAAATCTTCTCCATTAACAAACTTCCAACATTCTCTTTTTTAGCTACGTCTTGCAGAGGTGTGAAGCAGGTTTAATAACAATTTTCTTTTGACATGCTCAATTGAGTTTTCTCCCAGGAGGCACTGTAATTAGTGTGCTCAATTTCTCAGGCTGGTGACACATATGTGTTTCTAACATAAGAAAATGAATTTCCTTTTTGTAAAGTCATGATATGTTACTATATCTAATGCCTTTAGTCTACAATGTGATTATTTCTTTGATAAATGTCTCACAATGTGCATATTGACAGGCATATTTTGGCTATATTTTCCTTGGAGGGGTGAGAAATCATAAATGCTAACTGGTGGAGTCCGGAACCCAATTGTGGTTCTTTTGGACTCAAAATACATAAATGGGTGGGGAAAAAAAGTTACATTTTTATATATAGCGCCACAATACCTGGCGCTATACATTAACAGTAACGACATCGTTAATGTATAGCGCCAGGTATTGTGGCGCTATACTGTAAAATCTGACACGCCCAGGTATAGCGCCACAATACCTGGAGCTATACATACATTTTATATATAGCGCCAGGTATTGTGGCGCTATACTCCTTTTTCCTGGCCCCACCAACAATTCCTGACTTCAATAATTCAAAAACATATAGTGCCAACTTTTTGGGCGCTATATATATATATATAAAAAAATTTGGCTAGCCATTTCATATATAAAGAGGTTAGGATTGTATAGAAATTCATTCAANTTTTATATATAGCGCCTGGTATTGTGGCGCTATACTCCTTTTTCCTGGCCCCACCAACAATTCCTGACTTCAATAATTCAAAAACATATAGTGCCAACTTTTTGGGCGCTATATATATATATATATATATATATATAAATTCCGGCTAGCCATTTCCTATATAAAGAGGTTAGGATTGTATAGAAATTCATTCAAAAAAAATTT